AGAGGGGGCAACCTTTTTTTTGGGCCGAAACCTTTTTTTTTTTTTTTTTTTTTTAGGCTTATGGTCATGCGAAAATTCCTCCAATGATGCGTGCAGAAGTTCATCGGTACGTTGGCGCTTTGGGCAGCGGTTGACTGGTCTCGTTTAACTTATTTATTTTATTAATTTAAATTTTATTACAATTATAAATTTTAAAAAATAATTATATTTAATTTTTTTATATAATATCACGTTTTAATTTAAATTAAAAAAATTTAAATCAGTGAACTAAATTCATTTAATTTTTTCACTCCGTTGAATCTACTTTTCTCTTCTGTGCTTTGTGTCTCTCCTGAGTAGTTGCGATCCGAGATACAAACGGAGTGTATGGAGCTGGTCCCCGATGACCATATTGCAGAGGTAGTCCTTCGTAAATCTTTGCTGGGGAGACTTGTTGGACATAAATTGGGCCTCGTTAGAACTTAAACTTCAGACCCAATGTTGATTGGGCTTTTCTCCCAAACCGATTTGGATCATGCTCTGAAGTATTGAAATATATATATATATATATAAATAAATTGAGAATTTACTTTAAGAATGTATAAGTTTAAATTTTTAATCTCTTATTTTCAATAAATATCATTTTGTTAGTATAATTATTTAACTAAAAATGTTATAAATTAATAATAAAGAGTAAAAATTATGACTCATGCACTTTCAATTGATATTTGTCAAGATTATCCAAAGTTAATGGAGAATATAGAAAATAGAAGTAAATTAAGTAAATAGCATATTTTAAAATTATGAAAAATTTTATTTTGACACTCTATATTATATCGAAATATGAGTTTAGTACCGTCTATTTTTAATAATTGCATGTTGGTACCTCGACCTTTTAAAAAAATCTTCTTTTCATACCTTACGGTAGTTTTTTGAGATACGAAAAGACAAAATTACTCTTATTATTAAATATAAAAAAGCTTTTTAAAAAATTTTAGACCTGCAACTAAACACCTAAACTTCATTCTGCCCCAAACGTAAAGCAAAAATCCTAATTGCAGGTTTAAGATTTTTTTTAAAAAGGCTTTTTATATATTTAATAATAAGGGCAATTTTATCTTTTCGTGTCCCTAATAACTGCATTGAGGTACTAAAAGAAGATTTTTTAAAATGTCGAGATACCAGCATGAAAGTATTAGAAACAGATGGTACCAAACTCATATCTCGATATAACACATGATACCAAAATGAAATTTTTTATAGTTTTAAAATATGCTATTTACTTAATTTAGTTATATTTACTACGTTCTTTCTTAACATTGGCAATCTTAACAAATATCCCTTGAAAGTGCATGAGTCAGAATTTTTACTCCTTACTCCTAATTCATAATCTTTTTAGTCAAATAATTACACTAACAAAAAATATTTATAACGAGTAAGGGATAAAGATCTAGACTCATCGGGTAAATTTTCTATTTTTTCAAACTTTTTTTTTTCATACGTTACACAGGTCGATCCGGCCCGGCTCTAGGCCCACAGGGCTATCTAGCTGGGTTGGACCTCTGCTTTTCTTCTCCAGACAGGCATAACTCAGCTCACTTTTTTCTTTAGGCCTGTATGGGCCCAATTGGACGGTTTGAATTGGCACCTCTAAGCTCATGTGGTTATGTTTTGTTGCGCTAAAGGGTTTGGGCATGCAATAGCAATTATTTATGCCGTGTTTGGAATTGTTCTTGTTTTTATTTTTTACGTTTTTTGAGAAAGAAAAAATGAAAACGATTCCAAAACGGGGTTTGGTAAAATTAAAGACAAAAAACGGAAATGAAAACGATTTTTTGGTTTAATGTAAAATGAGGGAGTCATTTTGTCCTCTCTCGAGCACAGAGAGAGAGCGAGACATTAATGAGTTTTTTTATACTAAAATAATATCTTGATAAAACTATCAAACGTATTTTTAAAAATGATTTCTGTCTGAGATTAAAAACGTTTTTATTTCTATTTTCATATAAGAAACAAAATTATTTTGAAACAAATTTCAAACGCACCCTAAAGCTCTTCAGTCTTCATTATGGTTAAACTTTAGTTTATTCCATTGAGAATTTAGTACGAAAAAATAGAGTTATATTCTGTTTTGAACCACTAGATTTATTCCATTGAGAATTTAGTGTGAAGAAAATAGAGTTCTCTTTTGAATTGTTAGATTTACATAAGATTCTATATGTTTTCATTTTATAATCAAATCAGATGATAACGTTAAAAACATTCATACCGGTAGAGTCTGTAGAAAGCTCAAAGCTCAATGCTCATTATATTCATATTTCATACCTGAGAGAGATGCAAAATTGTTTCTTTCTAACAATCCAAAGCTAATCAAAGATCATTTTTTTTTTTTCATTTTTAACTCTATAATGCAAAATTTCAAGAGTAATCTTAACAAATACCCATTGAAAGTGCATGGTTCAGAATTTTTATTCTTTACTCTTGATTCATAACTATTTTAGTTAAATAATTACACTAATAAAAGTATATTTATTAAGAATAAGAGATAAAAATTTAAATTTATTGCACTCTTTTTAATATTTCCATGCTTCAGTGCATGATCCAAATCGGTTTGGGAGAAAAGTCCAATCAGCATTGGGTCTGAAGTTTAAGTTCAAACCAGGCCCAATTTATGTCCAACAAGTCTCCCCAAGTCTAAACTTCGGAATTGATTCTATTTTTATTTTTCATGTTTTTTATGAAAGAAAAAATGAAAACGTTTTTAAAGCGGTGTTTGACGTAATAAAGATAAAAAATAAAAATGAAAATAATTTTTTAGTTTAGTGTAAAATGAGAGAGAAATGAAAAACGACTTAGTCATTTTTCATTTTTTATTTTTATTTTCTCCTCTCTCGAGGAGAGAGAAAAAGAGAGACATTAATGAGTTTTTTTACACTGAAAATAATCTCTTGATAAAACTACCAAATGCATTTATAAAAATAATTTATGTCTGAGATTGAAAATGTTTTTATTTTCATTTTCATATAAAAAATAAAATCATTTTGGAACGAGTTCCAAACGCGCATATCAAACTATACAAACATGAATCTGTCTCTTATCATTTCAAAAAAAAAAAAAAGAACCTGTCTCTTATACCAGTAGACCCTACCAGCTCTCCTCATATTCAGGCTTTGTTTCTCGTTCATTTCACCGTTCGAATCACAACTCAAATTTGGGTACAGTGTCTTCTCTCGCACAAATTTAAATTTAAATTGGAAAATAGTAGAAAATAGGCCAATATGAAAAGCTTAAGAAAGTATATAGGCCATTTTTTAGTTATAGAAATTAATAGGCTATAACTTGTCAAGTTATGGTTCATAATCAGATGAGTTATGGATAAATTTGTCAAGTTATGGTTCATAACCAGATAAGTTATGGATAATAACTTGTCAAGTTATGGTTTATAACCAGACAAGTTATGGACGAAAACAGTAATTTAGCCTATTTATTAATTTATGTAAACTATTGGCGTATTAATTTTAATTTATCTCAAGTTTTGGCCTATTTCTCTCTTTCTCCCATTTAACTTTTTCTGCTATAATATTTTCTCTTGTTGTAACTCAAACGAGCAAAACGAACAAGGCATTAGATTTGTAATAGAAGTTTCAATTAAGGAATAAAACGACAACGTTTAACAGAAATACGATATGACAAGCATAACTTCTCACGAGAAGACGAAAGGCAAAACATACTTCAGCGAACCATAGCAGAACAAGGAATAAGAAAGAACAAAATCCAGATTGAAAAAGATTAAAAGGACTGACTAAGATTAAACAAATTGTTAAAGTATAAACTATTGTTGACACACCTCATAACAGTTTAAGCTTTTGGATGAATTGTTAAATTAACATGGTATCAGAACGGGATGTATTGAGTTCAAAACCCCGTAATTACTCTTTATCTCCATTTAAATTGTCACCATGTGTTGGGTCTTTAATATATCTCGTGCTTAAATATTTACGTGTTGGGCTTTCTAATTAATTTACCCACACGATTATCCAGGAAGAGTGTTAAAATATAAAAACTATTATTGGCACACCTCATAACAAGAGCAGATATTTGTACATTTTTGCCGGACTTGAGAATTAATAAGAATTAGACTTTAACGTTTTATTCAATTATTGAATCCAATTAAGCAAATTATATTATTATTTGTCGTTTGAGCAGTTTTAATACACAAACAAGATTGGATAGAATCATGAATTCGTTTTCAAATGCACCTTTATCCAATCATTGGAAATTGGACATAACACAACAAATGAAAGGAGAAGGATATCTTGTCGATAACAACTTTTATACGCAATAATATATCAATAAACAAAACGGCAATTTTTTGTTTAATACACAACCAATATGACTGACTGATCATGGCAGGGAAAAGAGCTCAGCCAAAATATCCTCTCCTCTGCACCCTATGTCTATACGTGAAATTTTAAAACCTAGAGGATTATATCAATAAACTTATTTAGATATAGAAAATCTTTTACATAGAAATATAACAGCTAATAATCTTAAATCACAGCAATATGTACAGAAGCTACGCAGAATGGATAACGAAATCGTCGGTGCATTTACTAGTTATATTTCGAAAGGATCATTCCGACGAGCACCATTGTGATCATCAGCCAAAGGGAACGCCCGCGAGTAATTGAGCTAGCTGTAAAATGGAAACATGGAAAAGAAATGGATTAAGAAAGGGATTTACAACCTCAAGCATCTCAAAAACAGCTTTAGATGCTAAGCTAGATTTTTGAAAGAAAAATGTGTTATTAGTTCTGTACATTTGAAGGAAACTACAAAACTAGACCAGCACCAATGGAAAAATTCCCGAGACTGTAATGTTTAAATGAAATTCCTGCCGATCGATGTGTTTAGTTATAGGAAATAATCTATTGTCTCGTTCATTTTACCGATTCGAGTTTTCAGTTTTAGGTTTCTACAGTAAAAAGCTCTCAGAAAATGTCACATCTAACTTTTTCTGTTACAGTAAAAAGCTCTTAGAAAATATCACATCTCAGCTCGAATTGAAAACTCGAATCTGCAAAGTGAACGAGGCGTATATGGCTCTTGAGGTGAGGGCAACAATGTGACAACTTGATTCAAAATGTGGACATCAAACTGAAAATTTTAGGTGTTTAGAAAGGAGTTCCATATTCATCATGACCGAGAAGAAAAATTTGATAAGACTCACCTTGATTCTTATTGTTGTCAGCCATAGATGGTGTTGAAGACGCTGCTTGGTTTGCGGTTGTAATCCCGAGGTTGGTGCAATCCATTCCAAGCTCGCCTGAAGCACAAGTGTTATAGCTCAAATCAGCCATTTCAGTTGGATAGACAATTCATAAAATAACACAGTTTTAGTGTTACTATCATCACTCAACAAGACATAAGGGAATCCTATTTTCTTTTTACTGCAAGTCTCTGCTTAGCTATTATAAGAAGTTGCCCTTACATGATTTGAAGCAAGGGAAACTAGAGATATTCAGAAGATTGTAGTAACCCGCCGGACATATGCAATTGTACGTGAATTTGGAAGCCTTGTTGCACGAACCGCCTCCACAGTGACTCCAGTAGCAGGCTATAGATAAGACCAAAATCAGAAAAATGAAAGAAAAATTCACAAGAAAGTTAACTACTGACAAAGCGTAAGATTTAGTGATGTAATATTTGTTACGATCGAAAATGGTTTCATTGGGTTTGGTATCCTTCTCTTCAACAGCAGCAGGCGCTTTTGTGCAGGAGTAGTTCAGGGTACCTAAAAAGTTCAAGAAATCAACGAAAAATCATACGAGATTAAGGGTATCTATCAAAGAATCAAGAAATAACATTTTAACCCCAAAATAATTGCTAGTTAGGCTGTAAAAATCACATCCTTAAACGCGTTTCTCATCCGGTTTAAGTTATCTAATTGCATTCCGCCATGATATAGTCTATGTCCGATTAGCGAGCATCACCAAATTAAAGTAGAAAGCTTCCGTTTTGTTAACTGTTTTTTGAGCTAAACAGGTGTAGCATGATTACACGAGTAGTTCACTTTTCTTGCCAAGTTTGACATATTTGTCTTTCTTGATGGTATTTCTACTTTAGGTAGCTCGATTTTGTTTGTTATACCCTCCAATTTGAAGCTAAGTTTTATCCTTTAAGCTCAACAAAAACCTGTACTGAACTTAAGATAATGACCTCAAAACCGACATCTATAACAATTTCCCTCTTATAAGGTCCTTATAAGTCACACTCAAATAAGTAGGACAATCAAATGTTGGTCCAAATTCTTTTTCCTATCAAACATTTTAACTACAAAGCCCTTGCTCGGTAAGGTATATGTTTATTGTATCTTTGTTTAGCAAACGTAAAAAGATCAAACATTTATCTAGTTACATATAACAAAAAAAAAAAAAAAAAAAAACCTTGCTAATGTTTTGCTTGGTAAGGCTGGCTAAATTAGGACTCTTTTTAACTTTTATAAACAAAAAACATAAACGTAATCAAGAAAGGTGATGAAAAATCTGAAATCTCAAAATTTAGTCATCAACAAGGTGTCTGAATTGAAAATACAATCACTAAACTTATTTACAGAGGAATAAAACATTATAATAAGATGAATTCAACCTAACAGTGAATCAAGCATAAAAAAACTTAAATAATCCAAGTACTTAAATATATAATTCATTTCAAATACCTATATCTTGTTCCTCATCACAAGTCCTATAACCAATATAAAGAAAATATAAAAGAATATCAATCAAAATCCTATTTATTTCACGAAACTATGATTCTAATTTTGCTACAATACTTTTCTCTCACTACAAATTTCAATAAAAAAATTTCCCGCCAATACTTCTCTAATAAAATTTGAAAAATTTGAATTCAGAATTAAAATTATTGACTTAAACGTGTGGACTGAACAGGGTATAAGAATTTGAAAATGTTGAATTTGAAAGAGATAGAGAGAGAAAGTGTTACAATTGGGAATGACACAAGGGAGGAATTTGAGGTGATCAGTGTGGCCAGAGCTGGTCTGCTTCCAACCAGGCTGACATTCACATTCAAAGAAGAAAGCACTATTGCTTGAAGCCTTGCATAATCCTTTCCCGCATTCCACATCTTTGCACACATCATCTATCATAACCAAAAACAACAACATTAAAATTAACCCAAAAAAAAAAAAAAAGCCCACCAGAGAAAATGGAAAAACAGGAGAACCCCATTAGAGAAAACATATTTAACTCATGAAATATTGAAATTCATAGCCCAAAAAGACAAAAAAAAAAAAAAAAAAACAAAAAAGGAAGAGAGAGAGAGACAAACCAAAGACAGGAGAGAGAAGAGGAGAGAGAAGTTCGCCAACGGTGGTGGCAGCCAGAGGTTGGAGAACAAGAAAGACTAAAAGAAGAGAAGCGCACATTGATGAGATTGAAGAAGCCATGATATTCCCTCTCTCTCTCTCTCTCTCTCTCTCTCTCTCTCTCTCTCTCTAACTGATGAGGAAGGCAGAGAGAAGAAGAAGCAGAGAGGGTTTGGGTTTATATAAACGTGTAAAAGAGTAGACTTTGTTGAAGGAGTTTCGAAAGTTCTCGGAGGATTAATCGGTTGGGAAGGCTTTTACAGTTGAGATCCGATGAAGTTTTGTAAACGTGGCTGATCTATTATGGATTGACATTGCCTAACTCTTTAATGGAGACTGACAGCCAAGGGGTCGTTGGCAGTTGGGGTTTTGAGATTCTCTGCTCTAAAACCCCAAAAAAGAAAAAAGAAAAAAGAAAAAAGAAAGGGACAATTTTCTTTTTATCATTTTTTTTTTATTAACACGTTATTGGTACGTCGATAATAGGTTAAATTTTTTATCTGTTTATTTATATAAAATCACAAAAAAATTAAAAATATATATATTTAATAGTTAAAAAAATTAAATCTATTAATACATCAGGCATATTAAAAAATTTCATTTTTAATAAATAGTCGGATTTATTTATATTTGGGAATGGCTAGTTTTTATAGCAGCTCATTAGTGATAAACCATAATTAATCAGTGTTAAATCTAAATTATCATTCTTTATTGATAATTTATCACTGATAAATGATAATTTGTTGATTGGAATTCATTAATTGCTAGCTAATATTGATGAATCAGTAAAAGTTTGAATTTAGCAATTAGCACTATTAAGCTTTTATTTTTTTCTTTGCTGCAATCAATCTACATTAGTAATTTATAGAAAGAATCTTTGCTGCAATCAATCTACATTAGTAATTTATAGAAAGAATAGCATTGGTTGTCTACGATACAAGTCATCAAGAACTTTTTATTTATTTATTTATTTATTTTTTTAATGAAGAGCTATCTGTTTTGAGATGAGCAACAAAGTATAAACTCAAAATAAACCTTTTTATTTTCAAATGAATCTCAAATTTGTCCCGAGGTTGCAATGAAGTATGTTGCTCGGAATCATAGTAATAGGCAAAATCAAAGCATGGCCAAACCCTCTCCTCTTAACACAACTGTAAAATTTAAATCAAATTATATGAAGTTGAATATTATAAAAGAATTTTTGAACAATACTATATCATCTATTTCATAAGCATCGATTGAGCTGAATCATATCAATGACTATTATAATGATACACCCACTATTACGATTATTTGTTGCGAGTCTTTCACAATAGGGAGGTCCTAGCTAAGTTGAAATATACAAGAGGCTAGAATATTATTTGTGGTATTATTTTGCTTGTCTTTAATTAGGACGTGGGATTTACCTAATCTCAGTGAGGATACCTTCATTAATGACGTACAATTTATCCACTCGTGTCCTCTTCTCATTGGAAGTAATAAGCCAATAATAGTGAGAAATTATTCTAATCTCACTCTTTAGCACATAACTTTTCCAAAAGTCAAAGTGAAAATATGTGGGGGGTGGAAATTTCGAGTTGCAATCTTCAAGCTAATGAGAAGACTTTCCAAATCATGTTGGTCATGTTTCAATGCATTTACTCGGAAATGACTAGTTGTGTCAAATTACTTGCGTGTAGAGTTTGGTTTTAGTCAAATCTAGGCTTTACAGATGTCTTGCCTCTTTCTATAATTTTACCGAGAACTAGCTACCTTACAAGTTAAACATGTGATAGTCGCCTAGTTTTGGGCATAGCTCACATCGGCACACAATCTGCACACGGCATTGGGCAACATAAAAACTGTGTTTGAAATTGATCCCGTTTTTATTTTTCACGTTTTTTTTAGAAAGAAAAAATGAAAACGTTTTTAAAACGGAAATGAAAAAATGAGAGAGAAATGAAAAATGATTAGTCATTTTTTATTTTTTATTTTTGTTTTCTCCTCTCTCGAGCAGAGAGAGAGAAAGAGAGACATTAATGATTTTTTTACACTGAAAATAATCTCTTGATAAAACTACCAAACACATTTTTAAAAATAATTTATATCTGAGATTGAAAACGTTTTCATTTTCATTTTCATTTTCATATAAAAAATAAAATCATTTTAAAATGAGTTCTAAATGTGTCTAAAAATTCAAGAGTTAGTATTTTCTGTAATTTTCTTGTCACGGATCATATTGAAAATAGTCGAAAACCTACATATAATGAACCTCAACTTGACACGAATTCGACCCGTAACACAAATTGTGACTTATAGTTCGCATCAATTTTTCTTTTGCAAGTTGCAACCTTTAGAAAAGATGTAGTACTTATCGATATCATCATCGCATTATCTATTATTGGTATAATGGTATTGTGGTAGTGAAAACTAGCTAATTAACCTCGGAGATTATAACATTGTAGCGCATGAGATCAGTTCTCAAATCAAGAAGACAACAATATACTACTTAGCTTGTCGTTTGTTCAATGTTTAGCTTCTTTAAATAAAAAGGACTTTCGACAGATTAAAGAGACAATGAAATTTTCCTTTACATTTCTGATATGTACATTTTATTCTTCATATGTACATTATTTTGGAGCAAAAATATGTTATCTTTCATCAAATGCAAAATAATAAGTGTTGTTATACGTCTATTATTTTTTAGGGACTTTCTCACGTAGATCTTTCTATTAGTAGAATCAATTTCTAACCGTTAAATCTAATTAAAATTATATCAAATTAAAAAAATTTGTAAAATAAACAATTTTTAATACAAATCTAACGACTATAAAGTAGAGAATTATCAGTAGTTCATTTTTTAAATCCTACTAAAAAAAACTCATTATTTTTATGTTTCATGTTCTTTTTCAAGTATTTTCCAAATTTCCATAAGGAAAATTCAGGATAATTTGCAACTTTTTATGTTTAGACAAAAGCATAAAATCCCAGAACTGACATATTAACTATTAAGCAGATAAAAGGGCTAATCAATGCTAAGAAAAGATAAGATCAATTGACCAAACATGACCCAAAAGGCTTGTTTTTTCAATATTGATGTTAACTTTGGGAAATCCTTCACATCTTCATAAAAAATAAATTACAATTGACACTTTCAAAAAGCTAAACATTTAATAGCAAATCAGAAAAATTGACATTTCTACAATTAGATGACAAAGAGGGGAAAAATTAAAGCTTCCCAACTATTACAAACCAAGCCACCCATAGAGAGGGGGAGAAAAAAAAAATCCTCAGCAACAAGAACAAACCTTTCGATCGGATTCATTATCCTTGTTTGGAGATTGTGATTTCCATGACTTACTAAATTTCACCAATTTCGAAGAACCCAAAAAACTGGTTTCTTTTGTCTGCTTATCATCATTCGATCTGTGTTCATAAACAAACAATCATTAAACTCAATATTCCATAGAAAATAAGAAAGAAAAAGGATAAGAGTAAATTTTTTTTTTAATTTAAAAAAAACACCTTGAATTCAGTTGGAGGCAATAGCCAAGCTTCTTCTCTAGTCTTTGGCGAGCTTTAAGAGCTGTTTCACTCAAATCCATTGATGGGTTTTGCCGTTCTCGTAGGAATGACTCGTTCTGAGTCGATGAGTGAACTCGGTGGCTATGGTTGTGGTGGTGGACCCTCCTTCTGTGAGGCACTCCCACTCCTGGTATCATTCCTGACATCTTTTTTTTTTTTTTTTTTTTTTTTTTTTGTGACGAGAAAATATGAAGAAGAAGAAGAAGAAATGTTGGTTGCTATTTTTAAGTCCAAAACTGCCTTAATTTGTGTTGTGTTGATGTGTTATAGAATACAAGTGTCTTAAAATGTTATAATGTGATTGCATATGAAGCTTCTGGGAAATTAAGGATTGGATTCGGTCAAGTTTGGTATCTGGGGAAACTTCTGAGCTCTTTCTCATGTGTTGTTTGTCTCTACTTTTTCCATTTTGGTTTGGACGTTGAATTTCTCGGTAATTCCGCCCTGAGGAAAAAAAATAAATAAATAGGAAAAGGAAAATGATTATTTAATTATTATTATTATTATTATTATTATTATTTATGTAATACGGGTTAGGGGAAGGGGAACCATTTTCTTTGTTTTCTTTTTCTTGGAGTAATGAGTATGAAATGGGTCTCTACTCTCTACTGACCCCATATTACAATACCCATATTACAATATATTGCATTAATTTTATAAACTTAGGCGCGTTTAGAATTCATTTTAAAATAATTTTATTTTTTTATATAAAAATGTAAATAAAAATATTTTCAAACAGAAATTATTTTTAAAAATGTGTTTGGCAGTTTTTTTAAAAGATTATTTTTAATATAAAAAAATCCATTAGTGTCTATCTCTCTCTACTCGAGAGAGGAGAAAACAGAGATAAAAAATAAAAAATGACTAAAAGTCATTTTTTATTTCTCTCCTATTTTACATTAAATTAAAAAATCATTTTCATTTTCGTCTTTTGTCTTTAATTATGCCAAACGCTGTTTCTCTTTCATTTTCATTTTTTCTTTCTAAAAAAAAACGTGAAAAATAAAAACGAAAATAACTCCAAACACAACCCTTGTATCTTAATTTAATATGCCTTTTAATTTGAAAATAGTCCATCCTGCTCCTTAAGGTATATGAAGATTCAAAACATTGGATGAACCGATTTTATTTCATAAATGCCTCATGAATTATGAATAAGAGAATAAGTTGATACAAAAGTCATAAGGGGATAAGTTGATTTTAAATGAATAAGTTGGGGATAAGTAATGTCACGTAATTATTTTATTGGTTTAAAAAGTGAAATGAATCAATTTTAAAGTTCAAGAGAATTCCCAACATTACTTTGTCTTTTTAAAGTGGAAAATGAATTATTGTTCGAGCCAAGTTAGAGGGAAGTGAGAAAAGGTGAAGGAGAAATATATGTGTGAAAATAAGTGGATGAATTTTAAAACTTCCCATTGTTGATTAGGAAAAAAACTAGAGAAAGAGAAATTCAAATCCTTTACAAGACCGATTTTTATCCTCATGAGGTTGAAAAAATTAGACCAAACATACAAAAAATAAAAGAAAAATAAAAGAAAAAACAAAAGGATCATTCTCTCTCTAACTAAACCAAGAATCTTTTCTTTCTATCTTATTTTCTCTCAATATGTTGGAATTGGATCACCAGCAGGAAATGTCTATGGGCTAATGAGAATAGGTCATTTAGTAATGAAGCCCATCGGAAACAAAAGAAAGGTGAGCCACAAGAGATTAAACGACAGCGACAACATAAGAAAGCCCAAAGGGCTCATAATAAAACGGAAATATATATTTGTGACGACAGTATTTATTTAGAACGACAATCAATTAGAAACGTCGAATATCAGCAAAACTACAATAATTTCTGAAAAGAAAACGACTAAAAACGACGATGATTAGTGAAAAAGATAATGAAACATAAACAGCAACAACATCGACGATTCACTAGCAAAACCGAAACAACAAACATTAATATTAATATAAACGACATTGCCTTGTAAATGAACAAAATTTTAACAAATGACAGTTTAATAAAAACGATCATGTCCGAGACGAGAAAAATATATGATGAAGAATGGCAGCGGACCGGCTTCACAAAGTTAAATTAAATTGATAAACAATTAAAGGTCAACTATTAAGAAGGACCACGTTATCTTTAAAAAGACAAAAAAAAAAGATAAATTGAAAAAGATAAGCCGGGACGATTATGAATAATGCTAGTGATTAAGAAATCAATAAGAAATGAAAAGAAAAATAAATTGCTATAAAAACGACAATTTCTTGGAAACGACGGAGACTACAAAAAACTACAATTTTACTCGAATACAAAACGTCAAATGCTTCAAAAGACGAAAAGCATTGATCGAAATAGAAGTGCGGGAAGAGAAAAAAATACAAATATGGTGCCGTTTGGAGCTTATGAATACATAGGCTGACAATAATAAAAACGATTATGAGATAAACACAACGATTGAGAAACACAAAAATGAGGAGGTTTAACAAAAAGTGCAAAACTAGTTAAAGACGACATGGATTACATAAAACGACTGTTAGCAATTAACGGCGCCAGCGAAAAACGACAACTTTGGAATCAAAACAAAGTGTCTTGGAATGGAAATACGACACTTTATTAACGACAAATGGATGAGAAACGACATTGACGAAGAAAACAAAAATTATTTTGAAAAATCAACAATTTTTTGATAAACGAGAACGGTTAACGAAACTTTGATATCTTTTAAATGACGAATATTGATAAAACGACAAGGAGCTACATTTTCTATATTATTTAAGAAAAGAGATAGGAAAGCAAAAAATAACATAAAATAAATAAATAAATAAATAAAACACGTACACGACAATGGTTCTTAAGAACGGCATGATTTGGAAAAACAATAATGTATTAACGTGTATGAAAGCGACAAAGACCAATAAAACGACATGGACCTTAAGGTGTGCACAATTAAATTGTCATATTTCTCTTAACTTCTATTAATTATAATATGATTCGATGTCATATGATTTAGAGTTGCGTCTTACTATGTAATTTTTTTATACCCTATCTTATAATTTTTTAGCATACAACAAACATGAGACTTGAAGACCATAAAATGTTTCCTAATTCTAATATGAAAATAATATTATTAAATGGTTCAGAATTGTGTCGTACAGATAAAGTATACCCTACCACGTATATATTATTAAACAAAAAAAAAACTTAGGCCCCGTTTATTTCACTAATTTGAGTTTTATTACAGTAAAAAACTCTTAGAAATAGTCACATCTAACTTTTTTATTACAGTAAAAAAACTCACATAAAGTCACATCTTAACTCAAATTAAAAATTTGAATCAACAAACTAAACGGGGCTTATATTCAGTATTTAGGATTTCTATATCGCCCCATTTCCCAAAATGATCAATAATGCACCTAAAAAATAGAAAAGTTTATACGTAAGGTTTATAGTTTGTTTAGTTCGTTAATTTAAGTTTTTAATTTAAATTGAGATATAATTTTATATAAAAATCTTTTACTATAATAAAAATATTAAATATGATTATTTTTAAATTTTTTTTACTATAATAAAATTTAAATTAAAGAAATGAAAGAGGCCTTAATTACGTAATTAGGAGAGGGGAGTTATTTTCATTAGTGTGGAGGGCTCAATAGTTAATCCTTGTAGGTGTATTAACCACCTTCTGACACAAGTCACAATTGCCAATACCATCATACCTGTCTACTGAGATATCCTTCCACAAATGCCAAATAGTACCGTTACCTAGAAAACTGCAACAACTTTGTGCTTATTTGATATACGTGTTAAATTTATTAATATATAAATTATGTTATAGTATTTTTTTATAAAAAATTTAAAATTTAAATGTCATTGTCAAAATTACTGTTTTAAACACGTATATTAACGAATCCTTTTACTTTTAAGATTTTGGACCCCATATAACTTGTTATAGGACCACATATGCATTTTTGTTTGTAGTCACTTATTATGGTTCATTTCTACTATATGACGACTTAGCCCCCACTTACTGAAACAATTCCATGACAAAATTAAAACTGACTTCAATTATATATGGTACATGTTTCGTACATGCCATGATCTCTTGTAGTGTTGGTTGAGGGTGATTGAAGAAGGCTTGATGGTTTGAGTTATTTAGGGAATTTGCCGACACTTCCATTTTGATTCCATGCAAGTTAAGTTGTAACCTAATTGGTTGTATTGTAATGACGATGAGAAAACTAAAAGCAAACTGACAAAGAAAGGAATATAAGAGAAATACGCTAGAATGACTATCCAATAAAGTGAAATTAACAAAATGACCTTCTTCATTTTTTATGAAGAAGAACCACCTAATCATTTTTTGTAAAAAGTTGTCATTTTACAAATAAAAATTTTTAAAAAATTATTTTACTAATAAAACTTTTCTATTGAGTTATTTTTACAAAGACCTCGGAATATAACGTTCGCAATAATTTCTTAGTTAGCGCAACGATCAACTTAAGTTATTAAGTTTTATTATAGCACGAAATAAGGTTTAGAGAGAGTCACATTAAAAAAAAAAGAAAGTGAGAGAGACGGTTTTAAATTTTTTTATATGAGAAATGCTAGTATCACTTTTTTGTTACGTATTTACTGTTTAACACGTGAACTCTATTATTTTATTTTATTTTTGTTTAAATAATAATATATTATATTAGTGAAGCCCATGTGTCAAATAATAAACGTAGAGAGTGATAAAAAACTAACAGAAAAAAATGATGCTAGCATTTTTCATTTTTAATAAATAAGCATTTAACTCACATACGCTATATCCTTCAGGACTTGAGCCCTAGTCACACATCCACACATGACACACCTTGATGATTTTAATTTTAGAAGTTAAGATTATCTATCTTTTTTTTTTTATTTTTTTTATTTTATGAAACGATTGCTTATATATGAAATTTATACAAAACCTATTACAAAGAAATTCCGACATGAGCCAAGAGCATCGGTAATATGCAAAGATTGTAGATGTTGACACTTTCCACCACATACCCTTTACCAAGATGTGGTCCATTTGGTATTATTCTAGTCACCAACTCTAGAACTCTCTCACTGTCATTGGGTTATTTGAGACAAGTTTTTTTTCTTTTTTTTTAAACCATATAAAATAGCTATTTTGCGTAGTTACGACCCTGAAAAAATGAACCGGCCTTGATTCTAGTTTTCTTTAGCTTGATTATGAATATCATGCTTGAATAAAGTATAAAATAAAGCCCTGGAGACAAACTAAAATAACCAACTTAAGAAAAAGGCAACTTAGGCATGTTAAATAGCCATGGCAGTGCCTTAAAAGAAAAAAAAAAAGCAGCCATGGTAGTTTGGCTAAAATACTTTAGGGTTTGTTCTTTTGGAGTTTAACTTGAGTATAATTCTTGAGTTGAATTTGAGTTATAACTTGAGTTGAACTTGTAACTTGAGTTTATATTTGGTTGTGTATATTTGAGTTATGGTTTGAAATAAGAATTTTTTTGAGTTTGTGTTTGAGTGAGTCAAAACTTGAATTTGTATTTAGATAGTATTTTAATAAAAACTCAATGCTGATGAAAAATTTTAATAGGGTATATGGGTCTAGTTTTATTCGTCTTTTCGTTGTCAACGCATAGAAAAAAAATCATCTCAATCAGAATTAAAACGAAAAAATTATAGCATTTTTAAGAATATAAAAAATATTGTTCATTAATTTGAGTTCGAGTTTCTGAACTCGAGTTGAAGAGGAAACTTGAACTCGAGTTTTAGTCCTAAACTCGAGTTTGAACTCGAGTTTAAACTTAAAAGAACATAAACTCGAATAAAGTTATAACTCGAGTTGTCTTTTTTTGAGTTTTTCACTCAAAAGAACAAGCTCTTACATTTTTGCCTTTTTCCTCTCTCCCTCTCTCTCTATATGTATATATGTATAGATATATTACATATGTATTAATTAGGGACAAGACTGACAATTCACCACATAAATTCTGAACTTCAAATACCTTAACCAAGATGAATGAGAGGAAACAGCCAAAACAAAGAAGCCACAAAATATATATACAAACACACACATTACTGAAGTAAGTTATAACTTGGCATGTGCATTGAAACATATAAAAAGGTGATATTCATACAAACAAGAAAGAGGAAGGATGTTTCTCTAGTCAAGCATTCACATGCATGTTTATCTATAATTAATATCCATTTCGTACATAATCAAACAATTATTGTTACTATTTTATTCAATTAGAGATTTTTTTTCCCGCTTATATGCTGTAATTTCCCCCATATTGAGTACATAATCACATAATTAATTAAATAAGTCCTAATTTGATTTTCCATGAATGTACTATTATTGAATTACGGAATGTCTTTTGAGGAATATGGCTGGTCTTCACATGAATAACATTTAAGTGGAGGAAACAAACCTGGGGTATTTATGCTGCTCCAATCAAATATCAAAGATTGAAGTGATTACTATTGAATCTAATATAAATATATAATAAGTTTTGAAATTTTATTGTGTCAAAAGAAAAAAGAAGGGAGAAAGAGGGAAATAAATCAAGACTTGAGATGAATTAAAATTAATAGGTCAATAGTTTATATAAGTTAATAAATAGGTCAAATTATTGTTTTTGTCCATAACTTGTCTGGTTATAGACTATAACTTGACAAGTTATTGTTCATAATTCACGGTTTTTGTCCATAACTTGTCTGGTTATGAACCATAACTTGACAAGTTATTATTCATAATTCACGGTTTTTGTCCATAACTTGTCTGGCTATGAACCATAACTTGACAAGTTTGTTCATAACTTATCTAGTTATGAACTATAACTTGACAAGTTATGGCCTATTAATTTCTATAACTAAAAATTAGCCTATATACTTTCTTAAGCTTTTCATATTGACTTATTTTCTACTATTTCCGAAAAAAGAAACCCCCATTTAAATAGAGGTTACCAAGACCTTGAAATACATTTTACTATTTAACTTGTGCAATAAGGTTGTATCCATTTTTGTGGTTAGATCTAGTGATCTACCATTTGAATATGGCTTTTGATTCAATGTTTTATTTTTCATTGTTAGACGTTCAAACAGAATTCCTTTTTTCATAATAAACCAGAGATCACATTATGATGCTTTTCATTGTATGATATCCATAATACACCCAATTTCCTCACTCTTTTTACCTCCCAGAATTAATATTGATTCTTCTCGGATCATGTGCCCATATTGGCTAGGATTCTGCAAAGACAACTATGAGTAGTTCATTCCAGAACATTTTTAACCATAAAGTACTTTATCAACCTCTTCATTAAATACTGTCCACCTTCAAGATAAGTCCAAATTAAATGAGAAAAACTTCTAAAAACATTGTAAAGCCAATGATGTCCATTGGGATATATATATATATATACACATATATATATATATATATATCAATAATTTTTGTGGGGCTGAGTTGGTCCTACTCAGGTCAATGCTTAAAATTTGATTAGTTGTTAACTTCAAAGTATAGTAGGAGGAGAACTCTATAGTAGGGTGGTGGTAGACATAATTATAAACCGTTAGATTTTAATTAAATTTTACTTAACAGTTATATTTTCTATAATGTAATATATATTATTTGATATAATTTGATAGTTTAAAACTATCTTACTAATAAGATATTGTTGTTCATATCTTACGACAAAATTCTTCACCATAGCTGAGTAATTTTTCCCTTCTGAGATTGTTCATGCATTTTCAATTTGCACCATTTAAGTTACACACACAGATATATATATATATATAATATATATATATATATATCAATAATTTTTGTGGGGCTGAGTTGGTCCTACTCAGGTCAATGCTTAAAATTTGATTAGTTGTTAACTTCAAAGTATAGTAGGAGGAGAACTCTATAGTAGGGTGGTGGTAGACATAATTATAAACCGTTAGATTTTAATTAAATTTTACTTAACAGTTATATTTTCTATAATGTAATATATATTATTTGATATAATTTGATAGTTTAAAACTATCTTACTAATAAGATATTGTTGTTCATATCTTACGACAAAATTCTTCACCATAGCTGAGTAATTTTTCCCTTCTGAGATTGTTCATGCATTTTCAATTTGCACCATTTAAGTTACACACACAGATATATATATATATATATATATATATAGATAGAGAGAGAGGGGGATAAAGTTAATAGTGTTTGCTAATTATGTGATTAGGCATTGATTTGAAGGGAAAATGGGAAAATCCCAAAAGACTGTTTCACTGAAGCAAACACCTAGTCAAAGGGGATGCATATAAAACATGCCATGTGACTGCCAACCAATTTATTTAATATTTATATGAATATTGGAAAATAATTATAATACAGCTTACCCATCTGTGACGGGTAAGATAAGACCAAAACTCCTATTAGCTAGTTTAAAGTTCATGCACTAACCACCATCAGAATTCCCTTTTTGATTCTCTGTTCATAGGTTTTGGCCCACACATATTTTCTTTGGGATTTTATAATCCAAATTATAGATTATAGATAACAAAAATCAGCAGAACGTATTCACATTAGTTCAACCTTCCAACAATTAAAATGTTCATGAATGATTTTCCTGTTAGCATTATTATTATCATTAATTGGTATGTATTTCAGCCTTTTATCTTGGACCAACTAGTGGAAGAAAAAAGAATATAAATTGTTACAGAACCAATAGTATAAAGGTTGGAATTTGCAAGACTTACTTTCATTTAGCTTGTTCGAATTAAAAAGTAAATTTATGTGAAAAAAAACTGTATTTAAAAAAGTTAAATTTATATTTTTATGAGAGAAAACAGTATAATGAAAACTTAAATTGTGATTCGAACTAATAAAGCGAACGATATATACATAAATATTTAACACAATCTTCTCTTTGGACCTGGAAAAGAAGTGGTTTAGCTCAAAATTTGTCACATTCTCTTGTTACTTTTGCTTTTAGAGTGGCCTTTTCTTTTTTCTTTTTTCTTTTTTTTTTCTTCTTGAGATGATTGGGAATTTGATGTGGCAATTTTTGTTAGCATGATTTTGTGTATTTCAGGCATGTAGCTAAAAAATCAGACATGTATCAAGTCAAACCAGAATTTTATGATGTAGGATCCTACCAGTTGAGTTATATTTTATACCATCAGATCTATATTAGTTTTGTCGATTTTTACATTGTTTAGAAACATACACACTATGGTATGATATACAATACAGTATATAAAAAGCTCCTAAAATGAGAATTTTAGGATAAAAACTCATAATGGGTAAATGTGTACGCAGTGTTAGATGGTCCTAGAAGTTGGTAGCACTTCATATATGTCAGTTTATCTGTCCCACAAAACAAACAACTATTTCTACATTCTCTTCATCACAAACCAACTGGAGACTTTACAGTTTACCCTATGATATTAGAGGTGCAAACGCTATGGGAATCTCAGCATATTTGATATGGAAATTGATAAAAAAAAAAGAAAATTAAAAAAAAAAAATGAAGGGATGACTTCCTACTGGGTCTTAGTATCTTAATGTAGAGTCACCATGAGTTTTCATCATGAAAGACTTGACCTAAAATCCAATAAATAGCTTCATATAGTCATGAGCACGTGTAGAGGAGAACAAATATATATATATATGGACCCTACAAATGGAGTCTCCATGAGGTCATTCAATTTTCTAAAAAATCCAAGACCCTAAAAAAGGACCCCACTTAAAATTTGTGTATTTTACACGGAGTCTGCATGTTCTTGTCCCATTTTCACATGGTTTCTGATCCTCCCCCATAACCCCAAATATTAACCAAATGTCAGAAAATTTACCAAAACACCCTTGGTTAGTAAATAAATTTTAGAATGAGAGTTAATAATAAATATTACCTTACAGGCCTATGAGGCTAGCCAGGAATCTTTTGGCACTAAGTGGCTTTATCTAGGGAGCTTCCTCTTTGTTGTCTTTTCTACTAAAGGAGAGTAAAAATTGCAATATTTGTATCAGAGAAGGAATAAATGAGAGTAATAGGAAGCAGTTAAATTTGGTAAAATTAAGTCCTGTTCCAATAAAAAGGAACACATTATAGTTATGAGGGCTACTAATGATCAAATAATATAGACAAGAAAAGGATCTAGACACATGATTTGTTGCTTTCTTCTTCTTGTTCTTGGTTTGTGGTGATAGAATCATCTGGCAGTTTAGAAAGGATTTTTGGAATTTGGATTTGGATTTGAGAGAGATGGGAAAGACAAGCAAATGGCTAAGAAGCATTTTGACAGGAAAGAAGGACAAGGAAAAGGAAAAGGAGAATTGTCAAAGTGATAATGAGAATCCCACAACTCCAATCTCAATCCCACAGACAACACCAAAGGAGAAGAGGAGATGGAGTTTCCGGAGATCGTCGGCTTCTGCGGCGCCTCCCAAGGATTCGAAGGACTCGAATTCTGTAGAACAAGGCGCTATGACTCCACTGTTAGTGCAGGCTGCATTGGACGCTGAGAATGAGCATAAAAAACACGCCATGGCCGTGGCAGTGGCCACGGCAGCGGCTGCTGATGCTGCTGTGGCGGCTGCGCAGGCTGCAGCCGCTGTGATCCGGCTAACTGCCGCAGCCAATGGAAAAAACAGTGCAATTGAAGAGGCTGCAGCCATCAAAATCCAATCCGTTTTCCGCTCTTATTTGGTAAAAAAAAAAAAAAAAAACTCCATAATTCATTGAATCATGTCTAAAAGTTTGCAATAAATCCAAAATGTTTTTAACTTTTTGATTGGTGGTGCATTGCAGGCAAGAAAAGCATTGTGTGCCTTGAAAGGGCTGGTGAAGTTGCAGGCATTGGTGAGAGGTCATCTTGTGAGGAAGCAAGCCACGGCGACTCTCCGCTGTATGCAGGCATTGGTGACGGCACAGGCACGAGCCCGTGCGCAGAGGATCCGAGTGGTTGATGACACAAAGCCCGTTAGCCATAGGCCATCCACACACAGAAAATCAGTACAGGACAATTGGCTGCGTCATCCATATCATGTAAGTTGTCCAATCCAAAATCTTATCCAATTTAAACCAACTTTCTTTTGTTCTTATGACATAGAATGAGCTCATTCGACTGCTTTCAAGATCCGGGCTAGACAGTTTTCACTTTATATATCCTTCCTCCAATGTTCAAGTAACAATTATGGTTAAAAAAAAAAATCATCAAACTTGTCATAAATTGTTAATTTGTTCTTATATAGATGAAGTCCTGAAATTATGATTTTTCTCCATGTAGGATATTGACATAGGCATGGAGGAGAACGTCAAGATTGTGGAGATGGATCTTGGAGGAACAAAGGGATCGTCAAAGAGCAGAAACAGCTACTCAATTCACCCACAAACAGAAAGAACAGATTGCAGACTTTCGACACATCGACCGACCTCGAGGCAAGAAAACATCAACAACAACAGCAGCTGCAAGGTCTCACCGGCTCCATCAGCCCTGACTGACATGAGCCCCAGAGCCTGCAGCGGCCACTTTGAGGACTACTCTTTCGGCACAGCTCAAAGCAGCCCTCAGTACTGCTCGGCCGCATCTAAACCCGACCCCTCTAGGCTTCCCTTTGCCTTTCCTAGGCCAGATTATGCAGAGTCACTCTCCTATGACTGCCCTTTGTATCCGAGCTACATGGCCAACACGGAGTCCTCGAGGGCTAAAGTTCGGTCGCAGAGTGCGCCAAAGCAGAGGCCAGCAGACTCATTCGAGAGGCAGCCAAGCCGCCGGAGGGCGTCCATTGAAGGGAGGAACGTGCCGAGGGCCGTACGGATGCAAAGGTCTTCTTCACATGTTGGTGCAACAGCTAAAAACTACCAGTATCCGATCAAGCTCGACAGATCGATGGTTTCGCTTAAGGACAGCGAGTGTGGCTCAACTAGTACAGTCCTCACTAATACAAACTATTGCAGATCTCTTGTTGGATTTGATGTGAGTATTAGTTAATTTGAAATGGTGAAAAAAATTAACTAGAACAAGCATTTATGGAAATGAAACCGAGTTGAATTGAAATGAAACAAATGAGCAAGTAAGCGTTTCGGTGATCAAGTTCTTACTATATTTCAATGGCTATTGTGGCTGCAGTTTCATGGCAATAGGTACTAATGGCCCAACGAGAAGAAATGGGCAGATTTTTCACAGACAAAGCAAGCTCCAGACAATGGCGAAAATTGCGAAAAGCTTTATCTATTTATTTATTTTTTTCTGACTCAAACTCCTCCTCCTAGACCTTTTTATCTGATTCCAGTGTAATTTTGCAAGGAACTTTTTTATTATCTCCCAGTGTATTTAGTGTAGAGTTTGTTTTCATATTGGATTTGATTGTTTTTTCCAAGCATTTTGGGCAAGTTTGTTCTCCAAGTCTAAAAGTTGTATTAGTAGTAAAATATAATTGAAGTTATCTGTCTATAGAAATTTGTTCAACATGAAACAATTGTCCTTTCTGAATATGCTCTTTTCATTTTGTGAAATTGTGTAACTCCATTTAAATTGTTGTTTCAATTGTCACCGGAAGAAGCAAGATACACTTGAGAAAATAAGCACAAAACTGATGAAATAAAATAAAGGTACTACAGTAATTGAATATTGAATGCAGAGACCAGAAAATTAAAACGTTTCACATTCTAAGAAATTTTATCATTAAGTTTCAAAAAAAAAAAAAAAAAAAAGAATCACCACCAAGTTTCACAAGAAATTCAATAAGAATAATCTTTGTGGTGACTATGTATAAACTCACTAGAGACAACATTAAGTGATGACTTTTGTGGGCCGAGAACCCAACTTAGTCGCCAACTCTGGGCTCTTGAGAATGACCGAAAACATGCATTGGGATTTGAACTCTTAAGATAATGATGTTTTGTAGGGTCGTGAGAGATGTTTTTCTGGCTCGCTATCTCAAGTTTTCGACCAGATATAACGACAGTAGCTTGTTTATTTCGTGGTTCAAATCTTTTTATTATAATATTTTTTCTATTTGAATTTTTTGATTTGAATTCATGAACTAAACAACATTATATGACGACTGAAGTTGCTCATATTCAATAATCATCAAAAAAAGAATTGATGTCTAATTGCACATGAAAGATGAAGATCATCATTTTTAAAGCATGTCACGTGCAAATTTCGTATCTCGAATTTTTAATTTAATACATAATTAGTTATTAGACTTCAATTACTACTGATTTTGAGGTTTCAGGGGCATTATGTCAAAATTAGAAGTTCAAGATTCATTAAGTGAAAAAAAAAAGGAATAGTTCTGGTATAGCTCTGCAATTCACTTGAAAAGGAAAACAAAAGTGGCATTTTTTATTTTTATTTTATTATATTTTTTGAAAGCAAAAGAAATGAAGGGTTAAAACGGATAAAGCAAAGAAAACAGCAACAGGTATGTGAAGATGGTAACAACTTGAGAAAACGAAGGAGTTTTTCAAACAAGAACACATAGAAAACGAGAAGATATGAAAACGACATTGATAAGGAAAATAAGTCTAAATTTAGAACGGCCTGCATTAGCAAAACGACAAATAGGAAAAGCGACAGAAAGTAAAAACAAGCTTGGATGAAACGTCAGTTAATATGGAAAAGGACATGGAAACGGATTACGATGGCAACGGCAAAAGGGGAAAATGCTTCTGGTAGACGATAAAAATTTGAAAAAGACGGTAACATTTGTAAACGACAACAAAACGACACTTGCAAGGTAACGACGACCTATAATTATTAATACGACAAATCATGAAACGGACGATGAATAAAAAACGACAAGTTATAAGAAAACGTCATTCAAGAAAACGACAACAAAGAGAAAAAAAAAACAACGAAAGTGAGAAATAAAAGTAGTTTTTTTTTTTTTTTTTTTTTTTAAAAGAGGACGAAAAATATTGATTAATTATACTGTAAAGCTGCTCATTGGAATTAACTTAAAAGAAATAAAGAATCATTTTGATACTTTAGGTTATTTGAAAAAATAATTTTGATACTCTGTATTTGTCATTATATTAAAAAGGTATCTTGACATTCTTAAAAACATCACTTTAGAACCCTTAAGGTCCTTTTTAATTCTTTACCCAATGTATTCCGTCCTCTTTTCTCCTATCAACCAACTATGAGTCAGACAGACTAATAATAGGTAAATTGTAATATATAAGCCAAATTTTTAGATTGATGAAGGTAAATAGCAGTTTTAAGTTTTATAAAAATAAATAACATTTTACATCTTGATTTGACAAAATTGTCTTTTATTTCTTCTTTTTTATTTTTTTTTAATTTTTTTATTTTCTTCTAGATCTAGATCTATCTCTTTCTCTCCTCTCTACCGATCTCTCACTCTCTCCTCCCTCTCTCTTCTCCTAGCTTGCTCTCTCTCCTCCTCCTTCTCTGGCATCATGACAGAACACGGTTGCCATTGTCGTCGAGACAAAGGGCATCGCAATGGCAACCTTAATCGTTGTTATTTGTTCTTTCTCTCTCTCCTCCTCATCTTTCTCTTCTCCATTTGTCGATCTTCTCCTTCCGGTGGTTGTTCGGAGTAATTATGTTGGAACGTTTACCACCATGGAGTTGTACGTCGACGACACCAGAAGCGGCAAATTTCGTGAGGAAAAATGCAAAACTCTAGTGGGCCTTGGGTGGCTTGATTCGGCAGGCGTCGAGGTTAATTGCCGTATGGGTTTCGTTCATTTTAACACTAAAACTTCGTTCACTTCGCGGATTCGAGTTTTCAATTCAAGCTGAGATGTGACATTTTCTGAGAGCTTTTCACTGTAGCAGAAAAAGTTAGATGTGACATTTTCTGAGAGCTTTTTACTGTAAAAACCTAAAACTGAAAATTTGAATCAGTGAAATGAACAAGGTCTAAGAATGCATAGGAACAAGAGTAACGACAATTGGAGGTCGGATGATAAAGTAGTTGTATTTTGAAGTTATGAGTGTTTTGACCATCATGCTACATGCTTAACTTACGTGGTAAATGTTTCATTTACAATCAAAACATTTTAATATGCTCTTGGTAAATACAATATTTACCATCTAAATAGATCACTTACAGTAAATGATTCATTTACTGTAACAGTTTAAATTTTTTTTTTGGTAAATGACCTATTTACCCAAAAACTCGTAGTAAATATTACGACTCTGAAGACAGCTCTGGTGATGGCTCCGGCGAGGACTGTAATTCCGGCGACTGCTCCTGCAACGATTCCGGTGATTGTTCTGGCGATGGCTCCAACGACAGTTCTGGGAGGACTGTAACTCCGGCAACGATGATGGTGACTTTAGAGTCTCTGGTGAAGTTTCCGACTTCGGTGACAGTTCCAAAGAAAATGTACTAATTGTGAGAAAGGGGAGAAGGAGAAGAAGATAGGGGTATTTTAAGAATTTTAATTAGCTGCAAATGTGCATTTATAAAAATTATGCTATTTACTGCTACAAACAAATTTTTATGCTATTTTTTATGGTCAATTAATTTCATAATAATATTCTTTTTTTCTCGTAGGGCCACGAATTAAGTACGCTTTTGTCTCTCCTTTCTACCATCGTTTTTCTTTTCTAAATTAATTAAATCTTTTAATAGGACTTAATTCACTTTTTTTTATAGTTTAGAGTCTAATAATTATGAATTTACATGATGGTATAATTGATATTTGATGTTAAGAGTTTTAAATTTGAAATATGAGTATACTAAACAAAAATCAAAACTTAAAGTAAAAATTGAAATTTTGTAAAAAAAAAAAAAAGAAAAAAAGAAAAAAACGAAGAGTTTTAATCCACTCAATCCTATCCCCATTTTTACTTTTCCATCCAATCAGACAAGTTCTTAACTTCTTTTTTTTTTTTTTTTTTAATTTAAATATGCTTTAATTAGTCTAACACACTTTGCTCCTCTCTCTCTCAGCAAAAACAGTGGGGACCTAGGAATAGCACTAACTATTTGCATGGTCCCAAAAAAAGGGAAATCGCCGATCCCTACGTTATCAGTTTTTGGATATGTTTGGTTCTATTCATTGGTCTCAAAGAGCAGAGAGATTCCCATCTCAAAAAAGCTCCTTTGTTTTCTTTTTAACAAACCAATAAGAAGAAAAAGAAACGATATGCACTTGGAACGGCAGAGATTCCACGTCCCATTAAGAAAAAACAAAAAAAAAGTTCAAATAATTGAAGGCAAGTCAAAGTTATGGTCACCTTGCCATGCCCATTTTCTTAATTTCTCTCTCTTACCAATATATATTTCTCTATGTCGCATATAGTACTAGTAATCATCCTTTTGATGACTAGTATGCTTGTTCTCAGTCTTGTAAACATCAATACGCAAATATTAAAACATGGAATGATGTGATAGTGTTAGAAGAAAATAATCGAAATTATATATGTCTAACTGTTAAAGAATTATGTAGCAAGATTTAAGAACTAAACACAAGGCGGGATTGAACCCGCGGGAACACCAACTTTTTAAGAGAGGCAACGTGAGAATTGTAATTGAGTGTGATCGTTTGATTCACACAAATTATCGACTTTGATATCACTTGTTCAGGAGATATCACAAGATTAACTTATTAGGTCTTGAGTCTTTCTGTGTATATAAATTACTTCACATTCTCATAAACTTTTTATGTGAGACAACACACGCATACACTTTTCTTAACAAAGTATATCTCGATCGTTTGACTTCAGTGGGTCATCAGCATAAAAAGTATATCTCGGTTGTTGTATTTATATTTGATTTGCGTAATCGGCTATATGTTTTTTTATGTTGAAAATAACGTATTGCGAATAGGTGTTTTCATCGCAAAAGCTAGTTTTGAATTTGATTTCTACAGTGTCATGTATCAATCAAACACTTCATTATTGACAACCACATATCTTTTGCAAGCACGCATGAGAGATCAAAAAGTACACACACACACACACATATATATGTACACATATATATACATGGTCCCCTCAGACATTCAAAACTACACGAGGAAAGATCATTTACGACTGGTGCCAGAATCCGAAGGTCAACTTGTATATCAAAATTTGATTAACATTCTTGATATTATCCATTACATTGTCCAGTCACCACGACAATGTGGTCGATCAAGTTGTCAATGGATTAGAGTTGACTTAATTCAAATATGTAAGCAAATGTGATCAGATAGGTTACGGTACAGGAAAAAGGGAGATTTTTTTTATGGGACGAAAATGTAACATTGCGGCCTCGTTCACTTCACAAATTCGAGTTTTTAATTTGAGCTGATATATGATATTTTTTGAGAGCATTTAACTGTAGCAAAAATA